TATATATATATATATTTATATATGGGTATTTACGGGTTGTTGAGAGTTGCATATATTTTGGGAAATGAGTTATGAGCTTGAGATGTGGAGATGTTTTGGACTTTGGGATTTTTGTGTTTGAGTTTCGGTTTCTGAATTGTGAAACTGCATGCTAGAGCATTATTTTTACATGGTGGGGTTACTATGTTGTTTTAAAGTGAAACTTTATTTCTGTCCACTCACATCTTTCTGTTTTGCGCCCCCCAGACAGTAGTTGCTCCTGAAGGCATTCGAGCAAGTCACGAGCTCCGAACTTGTCGTCTGTTAATAGGGTCTGTATAAATTCTTTCTACTCCCCTGTTTGTTGTAAACAAATTCTGTAGACGCTCTGTTATTGCCCATGTTAGGCTACTACTTGAGGCCGGAGGCCATTTGTGTTGGATTGTAGTTTGTAAAAGCATGCTGGCAGTTGGGTTGTGTATTGATGTAAATCATTGCAGGTTGTTTGTTGTTGGTTTGAGCATTTTACAGGGGAGACTCTACCAAAATTTTGGTAGATTGTCTTGGGTTTTAGTAAGTGGGCCCGGCATCGGTATGATGTCGGCAACAATACGGGATCCGCCCCGGTCTCGGGGGAAATTCCGGGGCGGGTCCTGTCATTAACAGAAAGCCAGATCATGTCGTAAGGTTTACATTCTATTTGATTAATACCTCAATTGATATTGCTCGTCTTTGTGCTTCTCTAAACCCTCAAACAGCTGCTGATATATACCTGCAAATTAACTCTCCTTGATCAAAAAAGACTCCTCAAGTTATACATTTGCACCGCAAAAACTCCAAAACAAACTAAACAAACATGCCGGCACCACAACCTTAAAGAATATTTGTATGAGTGCAAACTCTGCCAACAATGCTCGTATACAAAACTAGCTTCTGTCTTCATATGTCAAATTAAAATCCACATAGACAGAGAAGATTGAATATACTTTCTTACTGTGAAAGCTTTTTTGGCTATGAAGTCATTATGACAGCAGACTATAGTTTCTCAATTATTGTTGCTTACAAATTATGAATACTTTCTTTTTTCAAATTATGGTTAACTTCACTCAATAATTTATATATCAAACTTGACAGAAGCTAAATCAAATAGCAATAATACACTAATACAAGGCTACAACGCAATTTTTTTATAATTTTTGAGCTAAAATTAGAGTGAATCTTTACATACTGAAAACAATGTATACATTACCTTGAGCTTTTTCCACACAACACACCTAACAATCAAAGTCACCAACAGTTAAAGGAAACTTACCCCACAAAGAAACCAGCAATATGTACTAACAGAACAGAAAGAATAACCACCCCAACTTCTCCAGATAACACTGTCTCAGCATGAGCCATTAGGGAGAGATCAGCCGGCAATGTTACAGCAACCATTGAAGCTTTGAGACGGACAACATTCTCAGATAATACACTGGCCCACAAAATAAAATCTAGTATGTTTCGAAGGAACCACAGACAAGACAATCATATTTTACATATAAATAATTAAAAAGATATTTACATGCACAAGCAGTGATGCAGCTAGCTAGAACAGCAAAAAGTGGCGCAAATGCAAAAGGTATCACAATTTTAACCACTGCAGGAAATGCACTCTGCATATAAGAACCAAACAAAATTGGAGCAACAACAACCTACAGATGACAGAATAGAGACAATAAGCCCCAGCTGATGGATAATATAATATTACTGAAGTTTCTTATATTTAACTTAACCTGCATGGTGCTCATTGACAGTTTGGCAGCATCCACAGGGACGTAAGTCCCTGCCAATATCTTTGTTAGTAGAGGAGTCAGGGGTACTGCCCCAAGAGTTGTGCATACCGTCATTACAATAGACATCCCCTTGAGCAATTAAGGTCACTTGAAAGGCTATTTCATAAAAAAATAAAATAAAATATGGAATGGAGTTGAATAAATGGCCTAGGCGGACGCTAGGCGGGCGCTAGGAGGGCTAGGCGGGCGCTAGGCGGGCTAGGCGGGCTAGGCGGGCGCTAGGCGGTCTAGGCGGTCTAGGCGGGCGCTGGAGAGAGAGAGAGAGAGAGAAACGAGGATGACGATGGTGCAATGAGGCGAGAGAGAGAGAAACGTGGTTGACGATGGACTTATGTTTAGGGTTTAGAAAAGGGCCGCCCAGCTATAAACAAAATGACCCTAGTAAAGCCGGGCGGCTATACTGTTTTTTAAAAATCTTTTGGGGGGAAAAAAAAGGAACGCATAGGATATAGCCAGCCGGCTATACTAGTTTTTAATAATAAAAAAACCATTATATTTGTAAGCATCTCAAGGGAACCGAAAATATAGTTTCTCAATTGTTGCTTACAAATTATTCATCTCAAGGGAACCGAAAATATAACCGGAAATACTTAACCTCTAGGAAGACGGTGAAAAAGGAAATCCAAAAGGCTATGAAGAATCTCAAGGGAATCGAAAACAGATCCACCTTTTCTTCCCTCAACAAGGACGATGAGACATTTTCCGTTGTTAGCAGGTTGAGAGAAGTTGAAGCAATCACTCTCGCAGTGTTTGAGTCACTTCTTTCCTTCATCTCCGGGCCAAAATCACAACCAAGCAGCTGGTCAGTGGTCAAGATGATGCAGCCAAAGAAATTGTCTTGTGAGGAAGCAACATAAACAGATGAATTTTCTGTTAGACTTAAAAAAAACTGAACTCTATAATAAGTTCATACTTTATTTTGACAAGATGATGCAAAACAAATAGCCTCTCCATGTATTAGTAAACATATACGTGAATTATGATTGAATGATTGTAACATTGTAATAAAATACTACGAAAGTTTATAAGATAAATGAATTAGTTAATGAGTTGTTATGCTAGTGTGGGAAGAGACATTGCACAAACATCGCCTAGGGAACATGCATATGGATTATGCAGATACATCATACATATGGAACGCAAACACATTAAGGTCTTCTATCTTCTTACAAGACACAACAAGAAGAAATGACTTTCCACACTCACTCGAACAGCTTCCCTTCAAGGCCACACCCGATAATTGAAGAAGTTTATACATGGCAATACGGTTGTGTTGCGTACTTGGAGAAATTTTGGACCTTGGGATAGACTCCTTCGCTTAAATTGCTACTACTTACTCTCTTGTTCTTGTTTAAAATATCAGTGAATTTTGGTGCCTATATGGTTAACTATTACTAATCCTGAATTCCTGCAATTATCATCAACTTGCCTAAATAAGGGTTTGAGCTTAATTACGATATGATCTTGCTTGCTGCAATATCATCAATTTTTTTTAATCAATGGGTATCCATGTGTAGATGATGGGATTTGAATTTTACCTTTCTTTCATATTGAGAATAAAGATAGTAGAAATAATAAAAAAAGATTTCTCTCCTGAAAAAACAGTAAATCCCACATTGGAGAAGTATAATACTTGTGAAGTACTTAATATTGTTAACTCCTAAAATTTTGATTGCCGAGCCTAATAACATGGGCTTGTGACCCAATATAGGGGCATTAAAGGTGGAATGTGAAATTGGTCTTATCACGTAGAAAACCTACGGCCCAGTGCCCTAAGTTCAGCCCATTATTTAATTGCACTACTTAGTGGCCCAGCCACAAAAGTTGCTTCCTTCAAAGACGCCAGTGCCCAGGAATTTGTGGTTCCCTATGTTGGTGACTTATTTGTGGAAAAGCAATTTGGCTTATCAGAGCAGCTGAGCCCGCCCACTACGAACTTACTGGGCCAGGCCGAGGTGGTCTACTCTTGACCTGACCGCCACCTTTTTCAGTTTTTTTTGCGATTTTCCATTACCTGTACAGATTTAATTCAAAACCTATACATTTACTTGTGTGAATCTCTCCAACCACAGTAGGCAGCCAATCCACTTTTGCTTTGCTTATTAATTCGAAATAAAATGTTTGGGGAGCAGTCCAATTCATAAAGTCTGCTAGCTACAAACCATTTTTCAACATCATGGAAGCATAACGCAATTGCACATGATCATTGAAAAATTCAGATTGCAAATATTGCCTGCTACTTGCTTAACAATCAGGCCAAGGACCTGAAAAATAATATGAACTTGATCAGCATATAATTGAGTTTATAGAACTCTTTCCAATATGTTAGTTATGAGCTAAATTAATGAGTTCATGAGTTGGGATCCAATTCAAATCATGTTACCCTTCTCACTGATATGATTGAAGAGGATGAGATTCCATGTCCCCCTCCTCAACCAACACTACATATTAAGCAAACACATGGAAAAGTTGAGAGATGTTGAAGCAGTCAAAAACAGTAGTTGCAAAGGTGGATGCTGCATTGAAATCACTCATTGGACACAAGACAAGCTAATCTCATCCCCAAAGCCATCTTGACAATCTGGAGTCATGCATTCAAGATCATGAAGAACAACTTGATTGCTTATTTAGGCAACTCCTCAAAACCAGAGTCTTTCTTCTCAACATCTTAAACCATTAGAACCCAATAATGATTAATTTATTCCATAACAAAACAATAGCATAATTTATTGCTGGCTAGTTTTCTGTTACAGGGACATTGGAATCAATTACTAATCCCAGACTGTTCCTCTGCATCATGGAAACACATATGAAGAAATATGGCAAAAAGGTTTTTGGTTCAATTGGGACAGTCTAGCGAGCCATGATGGATCCAAGCGACCACCGACCCGTTATCCTTCCACTGCCAAGAGCGGGAGGTAGTCGTTGCTCTGTGAAGCCAGCCTTACGCGGTTCCCTCCGCTCTAGAAACCAAGTGACCCAGAGCCTTCGCTCAGGCCACAGGATTCAACTCCCAGCTTGGAATGGGCGGGCTAGTAAATAGCCAACCGAACCCGACCCGCTAATACTGAGCCAATGTTCCAGCACCTCAAAGCCCCCACTCGGGTTACAAGCTTGCGTTACAAAGCTCGGCGGTTTGTCAACCTCGTGTTAGGTTTATAAAGCGTAGTGTGTGATGTGAACTAAGCGATGTGGGACAAGTTGCGCTCGCTTTGCCTCTTAAAATCAGATCTTAAATAAGCTCAGAATTTCGTCAATACTTTCCAGTGGCGATTTAGGGAGTTGAGTGAGGTCACAAAACTTTCAAGATTCCATTTCTCTCAAGGACGATGACCAATAATAAACATTTCACATTCAAAGGAGTCTAAAAGAAAGTTTATAGTGTTGCTTGATTCTTGTGGATGCAAAGACATTGTTTATTGGTAACAATGGTTCGTGAAAATTAGTAACATCAGTTCAAATATTGACATAAACAATTTTCTCCCAGGAAACAGTAAACACAGATTAAAGAAAACAGAAACATGGCAGACTCAGATCTCAAAACAAGCAAGTCACCATTTATCTGATTAACAAGCAAGTCACTTCTGATTATAATAAAAATTATGCTGCTTTTCTTTATGTTTGGGGAACATTGCTAATTAACAAGCAAGTCACCATTTTTCTACATTATAGAAACACAAAGGATGGTGACATTTTAATGCAGAATATTGCAGATCATGCCTCCTCCTTGGCAAACAATCGTGTGAATGAAGGACCTGCAAAACAAGATGAATTAAACTAATCATATGCGTTGATCAGCATAATTGAGTTAAATGGTTTTTGCCTCTCCACGTATTTGTGTAAACAGGGACGTCAACGCCACTCGTGGTATCGTATATTAATTATGATTGATTAAATGGTCGTAGCATTTTAATGTGCTAAATTAATCAATTCGTGAGTTGGAATGATGGGGTGGGAAGGGACACTGCATAAACATTGCCTAGGGAACATATAGATCCAAATCGAAATCATGTTACCTCTGACTGATGATTGAAGTGGATGAGATTCCATGTCCCCCTCTTCAATCAACACTATATATTAAGCACTCTGAATTGTACATCAATCAAAAGTTTTTAAGTCTTCTGTTCTATCTTCTCACAACACACAAAGAAGAAATGGCTTTCCACACACGCTCTAACAGCTTCCCTTCAAGCCCACACCCGATCGTTCAAGAAGTGGACGAACATTTGTGTAGACTGAGGTCGTCTACGGCTGCCTCCACATCTTCATCATCAATATGCCACAAACTAAGTGGCCTCCAAGACTTGCATGATTGTGTTGATAAGTTGCTTCAGTTGCCTCTCACACAGCAAGCCTTGGCCAAAGAGCAGAATGAGAAATGGACTAATGAGCTATATGATGGCTCTCTCAGGCTCTTGGATGTTTGCAGCAGCGCCAAGGATGCTATCTTCCAAACCAAGGAATGCGTACAGGATCTTCAATCGATCATACGAAGAACACGAG